TTGTGATTCTTGTAACGTTAGTTACGGCGGGCCATGCATTACAGAGGAGAAATAATCTAATGTTTTTGCAAGAACATGTTTCAATTGTGTTTTCTCACGCACAATTCTTGACTACTGAAAGCGAGGAAAATATGAACGCATCCAGAATGAATTGTTTTTCCGAGAACAAGTTGATTTTCATTTAATTCTCCTCCCAACCAAGATTCGAAGGGCGTTCCAGATTTGGGACACTTTCAAGAAAACTCTAGATCTTTGATAGTCATCTTGAGTCAATTCTGATATCTAGATCTCTTCATCTGTAGTTTCATCTTCAAAATGAGCCTAAGATTTCCAGAATCGGTTGACGTGGCAAAAAGTTATGGCTGCAAAACCAAAAAGTTGATTTTTTGAGATCACTCTGTAAATAAGAGAGATAGGAAGTTGATTCGCGAAATATCTCGAGATATGAGATCATCTTCATGCCTCTGTTGTCGAAGTTGAGGAAAACATTTTTTTCACCATTTGAGAGCCTTTTGAATATTCCGAAATTTTGCACAGTGTCGGAAAACACCATGTAGAGATTTTATTTGGATACCGTTATGTTTCAATGAAGTACAAGATTATAGCTGAAGGACTGGGCTATCGAACACTGTGAACCAAATTCAAATTGTTCTAAACTGGAAAAAGTTATTCACATTAACGACATTTTGGTGTTCGACGAAATTAGTGTTGAGTAGTTTAGTTTAACATTCATGTTGTTCAATTCATCCAAAGTTCTGAGGTATACAACGGCTGCTTTTCCAGCCTCAGAGGCATCAGCGAGTCCATGTGGTTCGCAGAAGATTGTTTTGGGAGGATAAATCATATGAATCATTAAATGTTCAGGTGCCGGACTGTCCCAGTCTAAGCTCGCCGCCCAGAGGTTTTGTACTAGTACTTTGAGATATAAGAGAAGAGGTGTCAAGAACCACAAAAGGTCGTAAACTCGGGCAAGTTGTGACAGAACTGTACGTTTAGTGCAGGACTTGTCGAGGGAGGTTACACTGTATGAGAAGGTGCCCGAAGAGGGATTCCATTGTAGCCCTAATATTTGTATAGTTGAGAGGCTATCGTTGTCAAATGAAAACAGATTGTACGCGCGATGCGATGGAGTCAAATGCTCTAGATTTTTTTTTGGTGCTCCCTGTTTATGCGGCAATAATTTTTTGATATGGACCTTGTTGTCTCATTCACATTCCTTTTTGTATCAAGTTTCTAGCTATCATAGAACTCGAGCCCCGACCCACTAATGCCCTACCGTGTATTGTGCTTTTGTGTTCATTAGGAACGTTTGGAATAAGCACATATAATACAGATACATTGTAATCTTACCTCTCATTTATATAAGTTTTTGTGCATTCTATGCTATGTAGATGGCAGAAACAGAAACAATATCGGTCATAAGTACTTTATGAAACGAAATGTTTACAAAGGTGGGGTTAAACGAGATAACATTTTTTTTTCATTCCATGACCACCTTTAACCAGAATGATTTCGAACATGACTGTGTATCAGTCAGTGGCTAGGTCTTCCGTATAACCCGAACGTCTCACAATTTTGCAGAAATGTTCATTTCATGGCTGATCGGAGAAGTATTTGAACCAATTCAAGAATCTTTGATTTGAAAGGAGGCGGCTTAAAAACGGAAGGGGTGTTTAGAGCCAAGATAAAAAAAAACAATAAATAATTTGTATTTTACTGAAATACATATACATATATATTAAAAATAATATATAAAACAAGAAATTCTAATGTCCTATTTTATATGATAACCAAACATCATAAATTTGTACAAGTAATACATCCTGATAAGACACAGCCTGCAATCCTACATTAGTTCATTTCGAGGTTTTATTTGTACTCGATTAAATTTTCACAATTTATACCTATCACATAGCAAATATTGAAACCTTGGTGCAGTCGCGTAATCACTAGGTATATACAATCTCTACCTTCGTTTAAATCACTAGTTAACTCAAATATATTTTTTCATACCGAGCCATCCACCTGTACATTCCGATATATACTTGTAACCTAGTAAATAGTCATACGTCTTCTACCACATATAATTTATTTTTTAGTTCCTAAGAATCAAGTCCAATGTCTTCATAATTCGAAATTCTTGAAAAACTACAAGATGGCTTACCTAAATACTGTGTCAAATGCAATGATTTAATCTCATTCTATAGATAGTTTGACAGGAAAAGTTTTTTCGAAAGCGTGCAACGGATCAAGAAGTGAATATAACTGGTACACGTATCTTGTACCTATATATATGTACAAACCTCTTTATATCCATCATTATTTTTTCAGTCGTTTACGGAGTATGTCAACTTTTCCTTATAACAATTTTCGATATTGTCGATCGAAAATATAGGTACTTTCCTTTTGAGCAAAATTAATATTTTCGACATACCTCGTATACGAATGAAAATAATTGATATCTGATATTTGCATTTTCAGTTTCAGGCTTTGCAGAACTTTCCATGAGTAATGACTTTCTCCTAAAATTGATAATAAAAAAGTTTTCAATCTGGTTCCAACTTTTTTTGACACATTATATACGTTTATCTGTCATTTGTGATCACAAATATACAGGGTTTTTCAAAATTCGACCGGCAACGCTTGACGGATGATAGCTCTCCTGATTTCATGATAACTAAAGGGACATACGGTCTTTAGGTGTTCAGTACTTGTGATGCAGGGTGGGGAAGTTGAGATATAAAACTAGTTCTCTTGCAATGAATATTCTGCGTTTAAATTTGGTATATGGTTTTTCTTTGAATGGCTATTTTTGGACTAGAAAGTCATTCTGGACAATTAATCTAGTGGTGCGGAACAGGGGGCTGTGGTCACATTTCCTCCCATATATATTTTCTACGCCAACGATGAAATTCCGATTATTTTTAATATCTCCAATTCACCATTCAATTTTCTTCGAAAAACGCATCACCTTTAATTGACCTAAAATTAACAGTTTTCGAGATATTCAACCCAAAATAGAAACTTGCATAGTAATTTCACTAATTTTTCATCATTTGCAGTTGTAGACTATATACTTTTTAGATATCATTCTGTTAATGAACAGAAATAGTTATTTCATGAAGGAAGAAAAAACAAACATTTTTGTAATTTTCTACTACTGAAAATGGGGAAGATTACTATGCAAACCTTTATTTTGGGTCGAATATCTCGAAAACTATTTATTCCAGCTCAGTTGAAGGTGATGCATTCTTTGAATAGCATGGAACAATGAATCTGAGAAATTGAAAATAATCGAGATATGATCAGTGGCGTAGAAAAGCTACCACAACCCACTGTAGCCCACTACGGAATGAAATGTTCGAAATGAATTTCTGGTCAAAAATATGGCCATTTAAGGATCAAACCATATACCGAATTTGAATATAAACTATTCACTAATTCTTGAGTTATTGCGAAAAAACTATTTTCATTTCCCAACTCCAACATCCTGTATTTCGAGAGGGCTATCACCTGTCAAGCGTTTTCGGTCGACTTCCGAAACACCCTGCATACAGGAAGCCGCACGTTCGATTTTGGATTATTTTGAAAATCAGGCTACTTCAGTAATCGCTCATGAACTAGGTAACGATTCAAAATATTTTCAGCGTTGCTGCTTCTTTTCGGTATAAGCGGCAAAACTGCATTTCTGAAATACCATCAAATCGTTAGAGAAGTAATTACTGAAATAATTCAATTTTCAGAATAATCCATTGTTTCGTGTTCCGTATATGTTTGAGGTGAGTAGGTAATGAATTCTTAGTATACATTATTATTTTGTATGGGCAAAAGTCGGGAGATTGTCAAATATCTCAAGATACGTTGATCAGACTGTTTTTGAAAAAAAAAATTCAATTTTTGAATTATTCTCATTTTATGTGGGACGCCCTATATATTTTTTCATATTCCGTTAGGTGAATTCAATTCAAACCAACAACACCGCGTTCAATGATGGAAACGTCAAACGATAACGAAAATATGAGGAAAAAACTATTCTACGTGCTCCACGAGTATGATTAAAAAATGTCCATGTCGAATCCCAACAAGTCATTTCACCTTGCAACTCAAATAAAGGCACAGGACAAATCCATAGGCGCCGAAACAAGAATTATATATAATCTTTCCTGAAATAAGTAGTACGCTTCCAGATATTTTTGGAGAAATCAGTAATTTTTAATCATATATACTTATTGAATTCTAAAGACGGAGTTTCGACAATCAATCTGTTTTCTATTTATTCGCAGTTACACATCATTTATACAGGTTCCCAATAAAGGATATACCGGCCTCCAAATTGACTCAAATAAGTTTTATTGATGAAACAAACTTGGCAAAATTCAACTGCACAAGAATGCTTCCTCCTTCCGAATTCATTAAGTAATTTACTAATAATATCTAGAGGTCTATTTATTTAAAGAAAAGTGATATATAACCAATGGACATATATACTGAGGTACCTAAGACATTATCTTCAAGCTAATTGAAATTTAAAAGTGTGGTGGCAAAATTAGCTTCAGAAAAAAATTCATGACCATGAATTAACACGACGTCTCTACAATTTTTCCTAAAATGTCGTGTCTGATCACGTCTAAGGTATCAGCTCAATGAATTGAATAAAGAAAAGATTTTTAGACTAAAATATCAATCATGTTAACCAGTGCTTCATGATAAAAACACATATCTTTGCTAGTGAAAGTGATTACAATTTATACTCTAAATTATTCCATTGATTTATCTGTCATCCTGTAGTTATAAATTACATTCTTCGGCGGTAATTACGAATAATGGCCTATGAGGAACCGAAGAGTAATAGTTAAATGATTGTCGCAAGCTGAAATTTTGTTTGAAAATTATACAGAAATTATGGTTTTTACGTTTTGAAATGGTAGGTAAGTTCACAGTCTGTGATTATATGATCCTTAAATATAATCTTAAATCTTTTGATTTTTTAAAAACTTTTTGAGATTTTCTCGTTTCTATAAAATGAAAATATGAATATAATTTCAATATACGTGTAGCGAGGACAAATAGGATGATTTGCCCGAAAATGTCACTGCGTTTAAAAATGTTCCTATCAGAGAGCCTAAAAGGAAAATTTATTCGATTGGCAGTGACACTTCGTTTTGAAGAAGATTTGGAGAACAGAAATATAGGTATTATAGGTAGTAAAAGTAATCTTTTTTTCACTTATATTTGGACGTTTCGAGAACGATTCTGCTCCCGTTTTCAACATAAATGAAAAATATTCTAACAAATTGTCTTTGTATTTCAATTTTTACACTTCTTAGTGACATATGTTGGTTGACGTTGGCAAATAGATGAGAAAGTGTCAACATTAAATTACGAAGACAATTTGCGAAAATAATATCGTTGCTATTATTACGAAGGGGCGATTTTTGGCGAAAATGAGCTATTTCTATAATTAGGCATAGGAAGACATCATCTATGTTATAAAAAATTGGAATGATAATAATGAGGCCTATCTTAGATTATATAGATATAAAAATATTTTTCTCGATATACGCCCTCACGTTATTAATTTTTTGTAAGGAATGGAGGGTGAAAACTGCAATATTCTGGTGTCAAAGGAAGAAAATGCGGTGGTCGTAAAAAAGCAGCGGCCAAGAATGATCAAATGTTAAGGGACCATATTCTTGAACACATAAATTGGTTCCCTCAGATGAAATCTCGTTATTGTCGGCAAAATAGTTCCAGAGAGTACCCTACCTTTACGCAGATTGGTCAATTACTGAAATGTATCAAATGTTTCTAGACGATTTAGAACCGAATGCAAACAAACCCTGCCTCGCTATATCGGTTGGTTTTCAAAAGTATGACTCTATCATTTCACAGGCCTGAGAAGGATGAATGTGGATTATAGTGAATTCAAAATAATGGTACAGAAGAAGAAAAACTGAAAATTGAAGACGCTTCTGAAAAATTGCTCATAGAGAAGACCGCAGTAGGAGAACTAAAAGGAAAAGTGTAAGACTGCTGCTCAGAATAATCCTACAATTTTAGTGGCTGATGTGATATGCATCAGCAGGCAATACATTTACATTTTAAAGGATTGTGCAGTGTTTCATAAAAGGAGGTTGAGAATGTTCAATTTGACACTCTTGATCTTAGGTAGTCGAGACTGCTTTTGTTTAAAATTGCGTGAAGGTGCAAGTGGTCGCGGTGCTGTATTCAAAATATTGAAAAAATACGACGAAGAAAAGAAAATTCAGTCTGATGCCCACCTATTATCTGATGGGTGTGGTGGGCAGAATGAAAATTATACTATGGCCGCTGCTCTTTTTTACACTGTGTTGAACTGAGAATATTCGAAAAAATTGAGCCTAAGTTTTTGTTCTCCTATAATCACGGCCAAAATAAAGGGGACTCCGCACCTAGTGTTCATGACATTGATTGAAAACTTCTCGCCTACGGTTCGAAAGTTGATAAACAATGTAATTCGCAAAATTATCAGGCCACAAGCTGTCGTAACAATCGCTGAATATTTCCGGCAAAAAATTATCACTTGTGGTATTACATACTATGATAATAAATTTAATGAAAGTGAAAAACAGACGCCTCCCTTTCCATTGAAAAACACATATTTGTAAGTATTAATAGAAAGGCCTATCTGGCTTTATATATTTATTATAGAAACCAGAACTGTTACAGCACAGTTTTCTCCTTCGTAATGACAGCGACGATATTTTCCAATTTTTATGTTGAAAACGGGTGCAGATTCGTTTCCGAAACGTCCAATGATGAAAGAAAAACTGATATTTCTGTTTACACCTACCTATATTATTTCTGTCCGAACCTTCGTCAAACCAAGTATTACTCACCATCGATTTAGTTTTTTTTTTAGGCTCTCTGATTGGACAATTTTCAAACGCAGTGACATTTTGGGGCAAACCATGTGATTTGTCCTCTCTACATGTATATTGGAGTAATACTCATATTTTTATTTCATAGAAACGAGGAAACCAATACCAAAAAATCTGTAAAAATGAATGTAACACCTCGAGTAACCTACATACATTATCTAAAATTTATCTTTGAAAATCATTGGAGTTGGACCTTTGGGAGATAGCAGAAATTCAAATTGCAATTCCATCTCTTTTGAGGCCTGTATTTCAAAGTTTTTCAAAGTATTCTCGAGTATCACTGGCAATACTTGCTCTATGAATCTTTTTCCTGGACATATTCTTCTTCCTGCACCGAATGGGGTTACTAAATAGGTAGCGTTACTAGATGTCTGGGGCTTCTCGCCGTCCAGCCATCTTTCTGGCAAAAACTGGTTTGCATTGGCGAAATATCTATCATTTTTGCAGGCTATACCTGTGTGACATATAAGGACACTACCCGCTTTTACTTTGTAACCAGATAATTCCAATTCTCCAGCTGTAATTCTTGCTAGACAATTTGCTGTTGGCAGGATTCGAAATGATTCCAATATACATGCCCTCAAGTATGCTTTTGACGAGTCTTGTAGGATCTTTTGTTGTGTTCCTTCATGTTTTGCTATAAGGTAGAAGAGGAATACCAGACTGTTTTTCAGTGTGTGGATGCCTGAAATCAAAATCACGAATTCGGAAGTATGCAATGTGAGATTTTCAACATATTAATTCAATGTACTTTTGGGGGTAATAACCCCAGATAGCACAGTCATTCATAGAACGTCCATAGGATATTCTTAGAGAATATTCGAATAATCTCAGAATATTCTCACAATATTCTTGAGACGTTCTATTTACATTCGGTATGGATTGTTTTAAATATTTTGAGAATATTCCTAGTATATTGAAGGAGAAGAAAGAATATTAAAAAAAGCTTGCTCCGATGGAGATGCGAACCTAGTATCTTCTGATTGAATTCTTACGAACCTGTTGAAGTTATTTATTGTTTGTTCTTTTTGAATACAACACATATATCATTCACATATTATTTTGTAAGAGATGTTGGCACATTATTATGGATCATCAGTCGGGGTTTCGAGCCAATCATTCATGTGAAACGGCTTTACAGTTCACACTGTCCAAGTGGAAACTAATCAAGGATGAAAACAAACATATTGTAGCTGTTTTTTTTGACTTCAAGCGAGCATTTGGAACCATTGATATAGACATATTGTTGCGAAAAATGAGATATTATGGGGTAGGTGGATAGGTTTTCGACTGGTTCACATCTTATCTCACTAATAGATCTCAATTGACCAAAGTGAATGGGTAAGTTTCGTCTAGTGAATGTATCAGCACAGGTGTTCCTCGAGGTAGTGTTATAGGACCATTTGTTTTCACACTACCTGAATGATATTAATTCAATCGAAGATATTCAGTTCATAACTTTTTGCAGATGATACTCTTGTTGCAGCAAGTGATGAAGATTTGGATATTGCTATAGGTAAAGTAAATAGGGCTCTGAATAAAATATCATCATTTCTGAATATAAATGAGTTGAAGCTCAATCATCAGAAAACTAAAGCTATGGTTATAACTTCTAAGTACCAACAAAGTCAAATCAATTATCAGGATATAAACATAGAAATGTATGGTGACAGAATAGCAATCGTTAATGAAATTAAATATCTTGGCGTTATTGTAGACAATACACTAGACTTTTTAAGTCTCATTTTAGGTACATCTACAAAAAAATCGTAAAAAAGCTTTTATTCTTTTCTAGAATTAGGACCAAATTATCTTTTTGCAGTCATCTGTCACTGTTTACCGAACAATCATACAACCTCATTTTGATTATTGTGCGAGTTTGCTTTCACTATTGGATGGTAATGGTTTATCTCCTCTACAAAAATTGCAAAACCGCGGAATGAGAATTATACTTCAATGTAACAGATTAACACCGGTTAATGTTATGTTATCTGTTCTTGAATGGATGACGGTGAAGAATAGGATTAAATATTTCTCTTTGATATTAATTTACAAAGTAGTACATTGTGATTTTCCAACGTACTCAAAAGATTTTATAACTTTCAATCATCAGATTCACAATCATGAAACAAGAGGTAGATATGATTTTCATATCAATCGTACAAGATTGAAGGGGACTATATGAATTCATTATTCCACCAAGGTTTCGTTGATTATAATAAACTGCCCATGGAAATCAGATCGAGTACTACAATCCATATTTTCAAAGAGAGACTCAAAAGTTTCATTATGATTTAGTCAATATACAGGGTGTTTCATAATTGAATGTCAATATTCGAGGAGGCGATTCTTGGGCTCATTCTAAGAAGAAAGTTTCATATGAACGTATGACCTAAACGTCCCAACTTTGGAGATACAGGGTGGTAAAATTCTCGAAAATTAATATAGCCTACTACAATGAGAAGTTATAATTCGAAAATACCAAATACGAATACAAAGTTCATGAACTATGAATTGTATTTCTGAAATTTGATCTTAAAAATAAAAACTATTTCTCTGCATTGTGATATTATCATATTAACAATATTACTATAATCATGTAGTGAAAAGGTTTTTATTTTTAAGCGAAAACCGTGCATCAGATTGAAAAAATTGTAGTGATCAAATTTGCTTAGAAATGATCGGGAATTTCAGGAATGATTTCAATTTGGAGATTAATCAGTGGCGTACCATCAATGTCTGCCAAAATAGGTATGTGAAATTCCATACGAACGCCACTGGTGGCAACAACAAAAAATGTGGTACGCTAACTGATGCCTCTTGATACATAGTACATGTATGCCAAATTTCATCAGAATATCTGAAGTGGTATTACAGATATTAATAAAAAACTATTAATTTTTGAGAACTTCACCACCCTGTATCTCAAAAGTTAGGATGTTTAGGTCATACGTTCATATGAAACTTTCTTCTTAGAATGGGCCCAAGAATTGCGTCCCCAAATATTGACATTCAATTATGAAACACCCTGTATATTATAATTGAGTATTTTGGATGGAGAATTGGGTCCTTTCAAGAAGGCATATAGATATTCATTATATTATATGAAATTTTCATTGTACTGTGTTGAATTAACATTTCATTTTATTTCAATTTTCATCATCTTTATATGTTTGTAAATTAGGATTTCCTATTTGAATAAAGATTATTATTATTATCATTATTATTATTATTATTATTATTCAAGTTTATATAATTCCAGTCACGACCCTGCGGCCTCCGACGCCACGCAGAGTCGTGCTGGATAAAATCCAGTGACTACTCCTCACAGCCTGTGAGGTGAGTAGAAGGGGCGTCGGTCTGGCGAGACAGCCAGCCCAGCCGCTCAGACACCCCAGCCGCTCCGCGCAGACGCCCAGCCGTTTTTATTTTAATTTTACCCCCACTCCTTGTATTTTGGGTTTTGCACCGCTGAATATGGGTGTGGTCATCGGGGATCGTCGGTAGGCGAGATCGGTAGAAGTCGGTAATGAAAAGATGTTGAGATAAACTCGAAGCCGAGGTGTGGTCGTCGAGATCGCTAGAAGTTGGTCGTATTCGTAAAAATCAAGATGTTGAGATAAGAGTTGCACGGATGTCGCATGAGATCGGTAGCCACCAGATTTTTTAGTAAAATGTCCACAGCTCGATGACAGCGTAATAGGTCATGCGATGACGTCACAGAAATATTTCCCCAAAATTCCATAATGAAAAATTAAAAATTATGAAATGTGGTTTGAGATAAGAGTTACACACATAAGAGCCGCGTCGGTAGGTGAGATCAGTAGAAGTCGGTTTGAGCGAAAATGGATGTATGAAATATTGCGGTAAAGTATGGGCAGACGTCACCTTGGTATTTCCACTCACAATTCTGCATATTAACACATCGGTCTTCAAAATAGATTTTTATAAATATTAGCGCAGAGTATGTAGATAGGAAAAAAAAACGTTTCGTTACTATGTATACGTACAATAAGGTCTAAAAAGGTATTTGTGGTCGAGAGCGATAAGAGCGCGCTCGCGGTTTTGTTGAATGGAAATTTCGGTGTGTAAAATAGTTCGAATTATAGAGTGGTTCGTTAGCGTTGTTCGTTAAAGGTGTTAAAAAAAATCAACCCCATTTTTCATTTTATCCAGTAAATTTGACATTCACACATCCTCATCGGTTGCAATATGGTGAAATTATAGGTATCTTGGCTATTACGTTACACATAAATTAAACACAAATTTTGTTTTATTTTATTTATTGAATACAAGAGGACTAACATGATTGTCCTGCTATTAAATTTTCTATAAATGTCGCAGAACTGTCACAGAACTGTCATGGAAGCGCCACGGAACTGTCAAGGAAGTGTCACAGAAAAGGTGAACTCAGCAAAAGTGTGACAGATGACGCTATTTGACGATTCCGATCATTATACAGGGGTGTTTGGATAGCAATAAGAATATATACAAGAAGGCAAGAACTGACAGGCGGACCCTGCGAACATATTAACGTACGACAGATGACTCGCTAGAGTCCGTTGAATATACAGGGCTTTCAAATAGTAATACAAACTTGTATAGGGCAGATCAATTAAATTCAATTGGATTAAAGGAACTTACTCAGTCCGAAATGGCTTTATTTCTGAGATACAGGGTGGTAAAGTTGTAGAATGAAAATCGAATTATTCAGACATTCAACAACTAAAGTATGACAGATGACATTTATACTATTCGATAGATGACATATTACGTATGACACGTAACCTTCCAGCGCTTACCGAAAACAGATATCCAGGTTTAGCACAACCTACGAATTTCAAGAAAGCGAAAGAGTTAATTTTTCCCTAGATTCTACGGAAATTACAAGTTACGTCCCATAAGTGACTGCGTAAAACAAAGCAGAGTTTTCCCCAGATCTACGTACTTTTTCGCGAATATCATTATATACAAAGCGATTAGAAAAACCTAAGTCAACTGAAAAAACATATACAGGATGAGCCAAATAAGTGGAGTGAAATATATATTTTCAAGAAACATATACAGAATGAGTCACAAATCTCGAGTCGAATGAATTATTTGAAAAACATATACAGGGGGTAGAAAAAATTCAAAATTTATTACCACTCATTCAAATAATAATGAAAAACAAACTATCGAACTACCATGAACCCAATCACGATGTAATTCAATCAAATGGATGATAGATGACATGACAGCAGATGACCGAGGCAGATAACAAACGATCGAATAGCAGTTTCTATATACAGAAACATAGCCAGAGTCTTGAAATTCTCTATACTTATAATGATAATATTAGACATCAGGCGAACTCAGCATACCTATACCCACAGTAAAAACATCCTTTTACCGTCCACGTCGAAATATGTCGAACAACTCTTTAGCAAAACTCGTTTTTCTTATGGAAGTATTCAGATGTATTCAGAGGTCTTCAGATCATACCTTCAGAAGTATTCAGATGTATTCAGAGGTCTTCAGAGGTATTCAAAAGTATTCAGATGTATTCAGAGGTCTTCAGAGGTATTCAAGAGTATTCCGAAGATATTCAGAAGCACGAAGTTCGAGCTACCCCGTATGCAAACAGGAAAAAATAGGATATAAATACCTGAACAGCGAAGAAATTCACCATTTTCAGACACTTTT